ATCCATGATCCTGCTGCAGACAATGTTCTTACAAATTTAATAGTAGGAATGCAGTAACTTTTATCATATTTCCCCATAAGAGAATTAATACGATAAAATCTTCACAGATCCTAGACAGCGATTTAATAACATGCGACTAAATGTAATTGCTGAACAAACAGCAAATAGGTCAATCGGTGATATTTGACGAACGGTAATTATCTGATTAGAATTAATGGTAATAAGACGTAATGCGATAAAATGAAAAGTATAATAAGTGGTATTTCATCAATGTTGGATAACAAAACACATCATTACCAATACTAAATGATTTCCTTGCTCTAGAAATGCTTGGTAGAGAAATAAGTGTTAATAAGTGGGTAATTAATTTTTTCGTGGGCACGCTCCAACTTCTCGGGGATATATTCATTTCCCACTGTTAAGATGGAGAATGAGATTGCAGATGCACCTCGCTAGTGAGTGTCAACTGGCACGAAATCTTTGTCCAGGGTTTCCTGATGACTATTTCTAACGACCTAACATCATTTCTTTCACTGTTTTGGAAGAACCAACAACAACAGTCTCGTCCTGTTACGAAGCTCATATGTACTCCTGACCCAGGAATTCATTAAGGATAGAACTCGGGAAATCTAGGCCTCAAAGTCAGCGCTTATCTGCTAGACTACAGCGTCAGTACCAAACAATACACACTTCCAATTTCAGTCAATTCACAATGCAGCAGTTTCATTATCGAATGCTATTAGTTTCACTGTCGATGTGTCTTAAGTTCACAGCTTGACTTACCACTAGGACTTCAGGAAATCATCTCGAAGTAAGTCACTAGCAAACTCGAAACTATAGTTTTAGTATGGGGGTTTCATGGTAGCTTATCTTTTTATTTCCACTGTCAGAATTAATCTGCAAAGTATTATAAATATTGGATTCGTAAAAGTATTTTTTACAGCCCTGATAAATCCCACATATAATGCTGTACTCAGCTTAAGTTTCAGAAATAGACAGAAATGGACAATTACTCTAGTCAATTTACTGTCAAGTAAACGTAATCCGTTGCTTGCGAATCTGTTGTCGTGAGTCATTCCAATCGATATTTTAGGGATGATCATTAACCCAGTAGATATGATATCATTCGAGTAGATTTTACTAGCTTTGGTAAAATATATCTTTTGCACTGGATGAATGAATTGTCAAAGAGAAGTACGTGTTATGTGCACTAGTGCTTTTTGTACTGCTTAGTAAAATGTCAAGAAAATGCGATTTATCCTTACATTATAAACTCCCTTCTAGTTTATTCTGTTTTGACGAATGAGTCAGAATGTGTGCCTATTCTCATACATTTTAATAATTATTATTCAAGGCTTTGTTTTGAAATTCTCTTACCTGCTCATATATTTCGCTCTGAGTTAATATTAAGACAAGGAATTATGTTATATCTTTAAAGGTTATAATATTCAGCCACGCTTACACTTCTCATCAATGAAATTGGGTCAACAAAACTTAATCTTTTATTTACTAGTTCAAACAAAGGTTCCGAAATTACATTGAAAAACTTCACTACGCGAGCGAAGCAAAACTAGCCATCCATCCGAAAATGTGAGTCAAGATAGGATCCTAGTTTATGCATTACACACAGGGCACCAAGCTATTATGTGCTAGATCATATGGATCAAAACAAACTATGCTGGCTGAGATAATCATCAATCTCATTATCGCGATAATTTGCTACTAGCTTCTTGCTTACCGCTTGTCAAAGTTCTCAAGTTCAGAATTTATTTCTCCCATATCATTTCGCCTATTCAACAACATTGTCTCCCACCTTGATTATGCCAGTTATTAATTTATCTTCAGTATATGTTAAACTCTTGTCTGATTTGGTAAGCAAATCTTCCACATAATCCACTAACACCTAGAATAACTTCAAGCATAACAAGCTAGCCATTTGAACAAGATCGGTTGGTTGTAAAAGCATTTCGTGTTTGATTGGTAAACCGCATGGTATTAGCTACAGAATTTAGTAATACATTCAACTTGTGTGTTTAATTCACCATTTCAAAAGTACAGGTCAATAATAGTAAGATTTGATTAGTCACATTTAATGCATTAGACTAACCCCAAGTAAGTTTAATTAAAAATATAGATTATTTTGATACTAGAAGGGGTGTTATCATAATGAACGCTAGTTCCTTAAATTGAGTTGGCCCAAACTATTTATTAGACAATGAATATTGATGCTACCATTATGAATTAAACCTACTCCATGAGTTATCAATCATATCCAGTTGATGAAATACATTCGGGATTGGATCCCAAATGTTGACAGGAAGTAAAATGCATAAACCGTAAAATGAAACTTCCAAAATAACGCAACGGTATGAGATCACTCGAAGCATCAAAGTACCGCTAACCTGAAAGTTATTTCGAGGATGAGCATAATTAAGATCCTTTTATCACCTGGTGAAAGCATCTTGATTCGTACGATAAGAAGTAGAACAGAAGCCACCCACCAAAAAATACATCGCTAAGTCAACGTAATGTGGAAAGATAGACCGACCGTATGAGAATAAAACTGTAATACTGTGTAAAAGAATATTGGATTACTTGAAATATTCCACGTCTTATTCAGTTAGCTTTCAGGATTTCAATTAGACGTTAAAGGAATGTCAAGCTATGTAATTTAGTTTTCTGGCTTGATTACTCATAGCTTTGTAAAATTATGAATGGAATTCGAGTCAATAAAGCTAAAACACAACCATACAAAATTTATAAAACGTAGGAATTTCATTGGTGAAACGCTACTCCTGTCATAAGCATGTATGATGTAGAAAACTTTATCAATAAAAGCTAGACACTCACTCAACTTCTTATATTAAACGTCGGTGAGAAGCGTAATACCACAGCAATCTATACGCTATGATTAATCCATTTATAATGACTCCAATAACCATATGAAGTAAATGTAAGGAAATATATCAACAAAATTCAACCATGACATTCTGGTTCCTTTAATTAACAAGATCAACATTACTAATCTTTATAGATTATTGTTTTAACCTTGATAATTGTTGTTTTCATACTTATTAGCATTATTGTTACTAATGTGGCAAAAGCAAACAATAGAAAAGAAAAGACAATGTAATGATGTAGTATTAATATAAACTGAAGAGGAGAGATTAACAAAACAAGTTTCAAAAAAAATGTTAGCTAATTTACATTTGCTCATTGACAATAAGTAGTGCTGTATCAACGAAGGTAACCAGTATAAGAATATCACCACAATTAATTCAATCATGAAGAACAAGGCGTCTTTTATAACAATGGGAAAGATTTCTCAAATAGAAAATGTAAAACCACCTGTGTAACAGACAAGAGCAGAATAGAAAAAATGTCTGGATTAAGGAGAGAAGTGTAAGACGAAGGGTAATCAAAAGCGTTTGAAGAGAATGTCTTTGTAAGAAAAAAAAGAGAATAATTTCACAAACGAATATCCTCCGCCCTTGTTTACTCTTTTCAGCTTTTAAATACAAGTTCACGTAACTTACTTTTTTATTCTAAGCACAATGGCCCTGAGTTGCGATTAAAATTCGTTGGAATTTAAGAGTAGTAGTGATAGTATATATGTCAACACCACACTGATGAAGACCTTATCCAATAGAAATGTATAAACACTTTGATGACTTTATACGATGTAACGACAAAATAGAAATATAATCATTTGTTGAAACACATGTACACACACAGACACAGCAGAGGAAAGCATATGGACAGTATATACTTGATTTTTACACGAACTAGGAAAGAATATAATCATTGACATATAAAAGAAAATAGCATAATTTTGGATGAAACATGAACTAACCAAAAATGAAAAGAAATATAATGGTAGAAGTAAAACAAGATGACGATTATCCTAAGTGAATGAAATGAGAAAGATGACAAATTGAATGACAGATGGAAACAACAAACAAATAATATGATAGATGGACAACACAAGTCACATATGGTACAATCTTAATACTACATTATGCATAATATTCAGTGAAAATCCTATGTATTTAATGCATGTGTCAGTGTGCATACAAATTGTATGTAGTTGTTAAATGAATATAAATTCTACTTCAAATAATGAAAAGAAAAAAACAAACTAATGATAGTATCGCAACTGTACAAAAATTCATACATTTAGAATGGTGATTCGTAATTGTGTACAGCATAATTATCATTAATAATAATAACAATGGTAGCTTGAAAACAGTGAGGAGGCGCATTCTCAACAAAAAAGAGCTCTTAAAATGAGAAAAATCCAAAAGGGAAAAAGTGAATATGAATATGGTATTAAAGATAATAGTAGCACGAGAATCAGTAGTATAAAAAGAGAAAACAGGAAAAAGGAGTAATAAGAAAATATAGACACACAGGGAATTAGTTGACCGACTTTTCTCCAACGTTGATATATATGCATATATATTAATATATATATCCAGGAGCACTTGTGAAGTGTTTTTTCTTTAAATTAGCTAATGAATGTTGGAATAGAGAATGTGGATGTACCCATAAACAAGGAATTCACATGAACAAACACACATGCATACAATTCAAAATAGTAGGACAAAAGACAACATAACACATATAACAATAAAAAAACTAGTACCTAGTAGGGAGACACAATGAGGAAATAATGATAAAATAGTAAACAATTGAAGTCATATATTACTGATGACAGTAATTAGAATAAGGAAGAAAATTGGTTACGTAAGAATGACTGGCTAAACAACTAAGTAAGATTTATATAAACTTATAAAGACAAATTGTACTCAATTAACAATGAATTTATTTGTAGGCGAGCATGCATGTATACTGTAGACCCACTCAATGTGAAACATTAATACAAAAGTCAAATGTCTAATTAAAGTAAGCACTTCAAAACATGTGAATGCATAAATAATTGTAAACAAAATCACTATGACATTGTTTAAATCAAATGATGCCTAACTTCATAATATTAATTATGTTGGTGTGGCCGATGTCCACCAGTCACCATCATTTCTAAACACCGGTTGAATAACAGATCCACCTTTAGATATTTGTGCAGATGGACTAGATGCTGTGACAGGATCAAGTGGAATATTGCATTCGATTTGAGAATGCTGAGATATATATGCATTACAGTTCTCATTATTCGGTTGAATACCATTATTCATTGCGGCTGCAACAGCCATTGCAGCTGCGACTACAGCTTGTTGTTGGTGTTGTTGTTGAGGTGAATGACGCTGAATTCCATTGGATACAGGACAAAAATGTTGTTGATTTTGAGGGTAATATTGAACAGGATAACCAGTCTGAATAAGTGCTGTAGTTGGATGAGCCTGTTGTAAAGTTTGATGATTGGCCGAACTTGTTGAGTTTAGTGTATTAGTTCCATTCAAATTACCTGTATGATAAAGACCAGCAGGTGGAAATACTACAGTTCCAGAGCCATCTCGACCATTAGAAGAAACAGATTGTGATGGAACTTGATTCGATGAAGGAAAAACAGCAGCTGGATGGAAAGCCTGATAGGTAGGTGTAGCAAATGGTGCACCATTTGTTGGATGAACATGTGGATTTCGAAAACCTCCATTACTCATAGTTGTTAAATTTCCATCATTAATATTTGTACCATTAGATGGTAGAGGATGAATTCCAGCTGCAACAGCTGCCGCTAAAAACTGATGAACTGCAGCATTTGGATTGGTTCCAGGCATAAGTGTTGCTGGTTGTGGATGTTGAAGTCTAGGCTGATGATGAAATAAAGAAACAGATGCTGATAAAGAATTATTTTGATGTTCATGTGTTCCTGTAAACGTATTTACTCGATTGACATAATTAGAATTATTTTTACAGAAAACTTTATTGGACTGTTGATTTTGACCAGGCTGAAATAATGGATTGTAAGTATTATTTTGCAGATGTCTAGGATTACTAGCAATAGGGAATGACAATGAACAGTTTCCAAGTAGTCCAAGTCCACCATTCGGTAAACTACTATTGTTATTGGTATTGTTATTCATTGGCAAGGACCCGCCGACATAGCTAATACTTCGATTACCATACTGTCGATAGTCAAATGAACAATAATTAACCCGATTCCTAAAATATAGAATTATGAATATCAAGTAAATAAATGTGATTACAAGAGTACATACTTTAATATTAATTATCTACACCTATAAAGTCAATTCAAAAGAAATTTTAGAGTATAACCAATGTTGAATGATAACTCATCCTTTAAAGTAAGCACAACCGTTAACATAAAAATATATAGCAGGAGACACTAGAAACTCCATCAGCCTAAATAAATGAAAACTGATCACTCACAGACACACACACGACGTATGGATCCACAGAGTTAAGTGTCAAAACCTCATAATAACTATCTTTATTTACTACGTGAATACATAAGGTAGAGGCAGCGTTGGACAACACTATTCTCAAGAAAATGGTATTTCAACTTGATAACCATAAACATACTAGTCTTATTTAGGCTTGTATATGAGTTAGAACTATTAACCATCTATTAAAACCGGGAGTGAAGTAGAAAAGCGATCGAAAAATTACTAATTGAAACTCAAATGTTTAGATTTATAGCGACTCACGTGCAAATGAGTTTAGTCTCATCTAACGCAGTTAAGCCCTTTTGCTAACTCATTTAGCGGACAAAGTTATCCGCACTATAACAACTTATTGTACCCTTATTATTTTGTGCTTGTATGGAATACGTATGCTTGAATATTGCTTACGACCTACACATTAATTCACTCTGCTAGTCTTACTACTAACTGCTAATTTGATTCGATTACTCATTCGTTTCACATGGTATATATGTCCATGTTATTCATATTCAACACTCATTTACACACACACTGTCGTCTCGCTCTTGCTATGGCTCTCGCTCGCTTGCTTGCCTTTCGGCACAACTCTTCTGTGCTTGTTTAACGCATCTGTACATTTGGATATATGTGTGTGGTCTCGTAATAAACGTAATCGACACTTCGTATTTGCCTTCTGATTAATATACCGTTGGGACTTTATATAGAATGGTTATCAAGACGAGCTGTATACGAAGTTTGAAGATTATATCGAATACCGACCACCACAGATTACAACGCTACAACTATGTACAATACACTTTTATACTCTAACTGATTTTCAAAGACCATACACTTATCAGAAATCAAATTTTAGTCAAAGTACCCGGTTTTATTAGTCCAAATAACAACCACTAAAACTGAAAAGACTGTCACACTTGAAGTATAACAAAATCAGCAGGCTCTCTAATAAATCACCCTAATTTATCCTTGAAATTAATAGTCGAGGATTAAACTATATTGAATGAAATCTTTCATGAAGTAAAAAACAAGCAGCTAAATATCACTTTATCGGCCAGAGAATATAGAAATTTGATGATAAAATGTATAAAGAGATGACAGTTTATGCAATAAAACGATTTTCGAGACCTTTAACAAATATCTTGAAACTGACTGATAATAAATAACAACAAACTAGCAGTAATTTATATATGTTTAATTTAGTGTGTACGTGGAATATTAGCCGGACATTCTTAACAAAACTAGTCAAAAACAATAGTTTGGTTAAATTCACTTGGCGTTGTTTTACTTGTATCTTTCCATTGTTATTTATGACTCCAATTGATCAGTTTCGTGTTAGCATATGTGCATCCTGCGCAGATTGCCTCGATATAGCCTTAAGTCACAAGATTTTTAAGCAAAGATAGATAGTGACTTGCCCCCAAATGCCCTGGTACGGCCGAGAGTGGGGAGAGTTCACTCACCCTCTCGAAATGCTCTCACATGGCCACGCGTACATAGCTTCTGCCAGGGAAGTCCTACTCACTGACTTTAAGTGGCGGGAGTGTTGATTACGAAATTAAGAGGATGCGAAGCGAATGCCCGGCGCTTTAACCGGGTTGGTGGATATGGAGAGTTTACCTAGGGGAGTTGGGAAACCCTGATTCCAAACCAATGATGCACATGGGCTCCAGCATCCTGAGTGAACAAATGGCGTATGAACCAATCGTTGGTCACCGGTTACCATGGGATTGCATCTCCTTACGATGCTCCACTACCTTGTGGTTCAGACTTTCAGGTCAGAGGCTTAGGATGTGGCCCCCTAATGAAACCACCTGCTTCAGTTCGGGCACCCGGGCAGTATCACAGCCCTCGCACAAATCAAATGAGATTTGTGTGGCGCATATGTATTTGGTGCCTCCTTGTACCAATATCTATGTGTTCAAATAAAATAAATATAAAATAGTGGCTAGCAGTGGAATCCAGGACGGACGTTTCGTCTTATTTGGGACTCGTCAGCTGGACGTACCCGTAGCCCAGAATTGATGTTCACCCCGGGACTCGAACTCAGTACTGTTCGCTCCAAACGCCATCGCGTTATCCACTTAGCTATTGAGTCCTGATAGCCACCTGCTTGTGTAATGGGGTGAAGTTTAGATACGAGGTACTAGATACTAGATACTAGATAAAATTCCAAATATATAACAAACATTATTAACCACAAAAATAGCTTTTTACTCTAATCAAAGATTTAAGAATAATCTATAAACAAGTTTTACGTGTTCTTATGATGAGTAATAATCTATTAGAAAGGGTACGGATTCGGGAGTTGAATAGTTAGGACAACTTTTCTAAATTACATTAAGTAAAGCAGAAAAGTAAGATGATAAGGGGATAACTGTTGGTAAACGTCATAAACAGTTTGTGTACAGGTGACATGAGGGAGGTATAGGGTTTACATTAATTCTAATTTATACATGTAGTGAGTTTGAAAAAACTGACACAACAAAATGAAATAAATGGAAAGCAAATATATGGATCAATAAAAGAAAGAAGTTTCCTACACCAGCACGACCATAATATAGTTGTCTAACATTGCATATAACAGGGGAATAAAATTACACAATCGATATGATAAACCACTTTTTATCTTTAGAAAACAATAATTACGTCGTTAATACATATCTATGAAAAATCAATTAATTTCTAATAAACCCAGATGAAGAACGAAAGTAATCTTGTATTTACTGTTCTGTGAGAAATTCACATCGCATTCATTCAAGTTATTTTGAAAGCTAATCTTGAAAAGAATCGTCATGGAATTATGACTTTTAGTGGTATCAAGCAGCCTCCTTTTCAAACGATGAATAGACACAGCTACATAGAATACCATGCATTAGTGTATCAACACTCAAGCCAGCACACTTCTCAGACGAACAGAAATAATTGGATTATTAAGCTTATTTACTAATCTGTAAGTGTAGGAGATAGTGATGGTACACAGTTTCTTAAACTACAGCAAAGTGGGGTTCGAACATGTGGCTTAGTGACTGAAAGTTGGATGCCTTAACTACTGAACTATTGCTTCACAAACAGAAACGGATAATTTACCGAAATGGGAATGTGTTTAAATCAAGACGAACACAGGTGGGATGACTGTTAACAAACTACACCAAATAAGAATGAACTAGAAATATCTATACTTAAAAACATTAAGTATTACTCCATATTACTTCTTAATCACATGTAAAATATGCTCAAAGTTAAGATATTACTTCTTGACAAAAGAGAATGGGAGAAGAGCCTACAAGCTCAGAAAAATATAAATTAAATAGTTATTGAATTTATAAACAATGTATGTTAACTGTAAAGGAAACATTTCAATACTTTGAATAATTTATATGAATACGATGTAGAAAACCTTACTTTTTATTAACGTTATTATTTATGTTTTTATTGCGACGACTCGCTGATCCTGATGGATAAGCAACACGTGCTTCTAGCCACGGTGGTACAGCTTGTTTAGACTCACGAAGCAATTCAACCAAATCTCTTACCACATTCTGATTTTTCTCAGAAAAGAATGACGTCGCAGAGCCTGGTTGGCCCATTCTGCCTGTACGACCAATGCGATGAACATACTCCTCAATATCTGACGGTAGATCAAAATTAATCACATGCTGTTGAAAAAGAACAAACGCAAAGGAATATGATTAACATGATACAATAATCAAACCAGAAAGTAGTTTCCGCTTCGTAACTGACTAATTACAATTAAATACATTACTGATTATAATTTTAAACGTTGATTAGTTTACTTTTAACCTGACAGATCAGTAGTTCTACATTCAACTTGTAAGAATGTATTGTGCTGATGGAACAGAATCGAATTTGGAATAGATCAACTTTAGCAGAGAATATAAAAAACAGCAGCACTGGTAGTATTATAATAATTAAGAGTTACAAGATTAAATATTGACTTTCAAAGTATGATTGGAGACTCCAAGTGAAATGGACAAACAACAATTACAATGGTATATGGATGTAATTTCTTCTGAGTCTTGAATACTTTATAACTCCATTTTGATTTGTTACCAACACCACTTATAACATCCTTTTTTATAATAATATTTCTATTTGTGTTCTACTATCTAGATGTTATACACTATGGAAAGTTGAAAATTGTTGTCCATGAAAAGTTATAAGAGTGATGTTTATCAAATACACTGAAGCTTTACAAGATTACTAAACCATTTAACATAGACATAAAGAAATAGTGTATCATTGAGAGACATCTACACCTAAGCGAAGTTATTGACTATATCGAACAGTATATGTTATTGGTAGCTGCCAGACAAAAGATGTACAGAAATTATTAACGAACTTTAAGCAGAAGTTAATATGAAACACGTAGTGAGTATCATAATAGCAATCACTATTGTAAAAACTGATGTTTTAATAATAACATTTCAGAAGCATACCGGTAACAACATCCAGTACCCTTTTTGATAGGGTATGATTGTCAAGTAATCGTCAACTAATATAAACTGTACAATGTCGCACAACATTCCACATAACACTGAATACTAGTTAACAAATAACTATCCAATAAACTCATCGTCTAAAGGTAGTTTTTTTATTATTTCATGTTTTTAAGCAGAATGAAAACTTGAAGTATTTACTTGTTTTCTACATGATAGTAAAATATATTGAAATAGAAACTAACCTTAACATTCGGTATATCTAAACCTCGAGCAGCAACTGCCGTAGCAATAAGAATGGGAGTACGACCAGATCTAAAAGATTGAAGTGCATGTTCTCGTTCGGTCTGAGGGCGATCACCATGAATTGATGTGACTGGAAAATTTAACTGGCATAAAAATTTAGCCAAAACATCAGCTCCACGTTTAGTTTCAACAAATACCAAAGCCAAGCCATCCGGATCTAAATTAACATTTACAAGTAAGTTGGTTATGCAATTTATTTTTAAAATAAAGCCTCAAAACGTGGTATACAATGTAAACTGAAGAAAAACATCAACCAATGGAGGCATTTTTGTTTTACCTATCCTAAAAATACTGTAGTGAACGGGAACCCAAGTGGGGACAACCGATTTACTATCTAAAACAAAATTACAGAGTTCTCTAGTAAAATTTGAAAACAATACATTAAATACTTCATCTGCAAATCCTCCATCAGTTGTCCTTTAGATTCTTCATGATTTTTCCACTTTTCAATTCCTTTCCGTTTTCTTCAGTTCGACCTTCTTTTGACAGGCCTTCCACTTCTGATCGGTGTTACATACTACTTATATTTGTTAATATAAGTAGCATTCACCACGCCCCCCCCCTTTTGGTAGGCTGTTCTCGCAGTCGTTCCGATCGCCATACCGCTTCTTTGTCGCTGTTCGCGACTTAACACATATTGGGTCACATCGTCTCTCATGCCTGGCCAATATGCACTCTGTCGTAGTAAATCCGTCGTCTTTGCGTCACCTGTATGCGCTATCTGGTGACATTCATGTATAATCTTATGCCGAAAGTCCTTCGGGATCACTGCCATCCAATTTTCGTGGTCATCTCGCCAAATCAAGGTTCATATGCGTTCACCCTATCTTTCCTTCTGCCGCAGCAACATTTTTACTTCCTTTTCCATCACCCGTTTGTCGACGTCTGCTCCTTCCTCTATCGCTCTGATTAACTCTCGAAGGTTAGGGTCAGCATACTGTTGCCGGACAAGTTCTAGTGGGTCTCCCTTTTACTCATTTACCTGTTTAAACACAAACATTAGTACAAGAGGGTACCAAATATATATGCGCCACACAAACCACTTGATTTGTGTGAGGGCTGAGATACTACCCAAACGCCCAAACCGAAGCAGGTGGTTTCTTAGGTCACACCCGGAGCCTTTGACCTAAAGGTTTAATCCACAATGCAGTGAAGCAATGTTAGGAGATGCATTCCCATGGTAACCGACCAATAGGTTTATGCGCCATTTGTTTCCTCAAGATCCTGGAGCCGATGTGCTCTCCCCTAGGTAGATCCTCCATATCCACCAACCCGGTTAAAGCGCCGGATATTCGCTTCTGCTCCTCTTAATCTCGTAAACAATACCACTGCCATGAGAAGGCAATGAGTAGGACTTCCCTGGTAGTAGCTGTATACGCGTGGCCATGTGGGAGCATTTTGAGAGGGAGAGCTAACTTTCTCCAATTTTGACTGCACCAGGGCAATTGGGGGCAGATGTCCCTCTAGACTATATACTGCATATGCTGTCAGTGGAAGTTCAGCTTCTACGCCTGGTTTTGACAAGTATCCCGCCACTACATTTTTGTTTCCCGGAACATGCCTGATACTGAAATCGTACTTCTGCAGACGTATCATCCATCACAACTTCCCACGGGGTACTCTTGCTGTTGTTACTCTTATCCCGGCCACATGCACCAAAATACAACGCCTATTTAGTTATTTGAATACATAAATATTGGTACAAAGAGGTACCAAATACGTATGCGCCACACGTCACTTGATTTGTGTGTGGACTGTGACACTGCCCAGGTACCACACCTTGTGCCATACAAAATGATGACATAATTAGAGACGTTAGGAAGTTAGTGAAACTAGAGCTATGTGTTCTGTGGGATATCGTAATATTTCCGTCGTTGTAAATCAGTCCAAGAGTTCTCACTGAGTATCTTGCTGTTAGAGATACAAGTTAGTATGCCAACTACCAGTTTTTGTTCCATAAGTTCCAGCAAGTAGTTACCTACATTGCAACTAACTTCTATTGTTTTTCAAGTATTAATTTGGTCAAAGAACAACATAAAGATAGTATTGGAATATGCTGGTTGTTTTTTAACGTGATCACATCCATTATGCTGTTGTTAGTGAGTGATGATGATTCATCGAAAATGTAAACAGCATACAGGTAGATGATGAATTGAGATACTTATTGATTGTGAACATTGTTAAGTACGAAGGCGAACGGTCTATTGATTAATCCTACAACAAACTATTTCTCCCCATTAAATTATTGCAGTAACTATGGGTTTTTTCACGATGCTTCACTCGATAGACTGACCAACTGAGTGCGGTATGATGCTAATAACTATGAAACATAATGATACAACACGAATGGATTATAACGGAATCCAATTTAAAGAATAATCTAGCAAGAGATCAAGAGCTCACATCGGTATTAGCAAAACCAAAAGAGTACAATAGGAAGTAAATTGTTAAAACCGAATCGATAATTAGCTCTTGATCAAAGCATATACAAAACCACATATAACCTACTTTAACAAAGATAACCTGACAGATTATCGTCAAACCCATACGTTGTTATTTATCACTCCCCTCGAAAGAGATATTACTAGTATATCAATTACAGGATCAAGTTAATATTTATTTATTTATTTGTTTTATTTATTTATTAGAACACATAAACATCGGTACAAGAGGGCACCGAATATATATGCGCCACCCAAAACAATGGGAATTTGAAGAGGAGAAGGAAAAAAGGTGAGAAGCGTAAAAAAAGAACAATAACGAACAGAATAAAGTAAGGTAGCATAATAATAATAATGGGGGAAACGAAAAGGTACAATCAGAAACCTCTCAGTTAAGGAAGAAGCAAACACTTTTTATGAAGAAAGTAAAAGGTTACAGAAGGATCGCCACTGGCTTCTATTCTCAGCAATATCTGATAACGTCTCTAGCCACTGTGTTGCACCATCTCTAGGACCCCAGCCAGGGAATCGTGAAGGACCAACAGAAGCCAGCCCTTTACAACTTTCTTTGATACCACGACACCATGTCATGCACTGACCACCTTTCCGCTTTTTCCAACCAGTCCCGGCGTCGGCAAATGACGCACGACGTGGAATTCTCTGGGACGACACTCCTAGAACATGTCCAAGCCACCGAAGTCGGTGTTTCAAAATGGTGACACTAATTGCATTATCGTCTCTGTACCCGAACACACGATGCCGAACCTCTGCATTACTAACATGGTGTTGCCACTGGATGTCAGCAATCCTTCGGAGACAGCGATGATCGAACATAGAGAGTCGTCTAACGTCCTCAACTCGGAGAGGCCAGGTTTCACAAGCATAGAGCGAAACTGCTCTCACCGACGCGTTGTAGATCTGACCTTATACAGCCAGACTAACATCACGAAGGCGCCAAAGGTGGCCCAGATTGGCATAAGCCGCTCTGGCTTTCACTATACGTGCACTGATCTCATCACTCACGCCACCACCAGCACTTATGCAGCTACCTAGATACACGAACTTCTCGACTACTTCTATCTGCTCACCATCCAGGGTGAGTACAGGATTAGAATCCTGCCAGTCTTGTAGAAGTACTTTGCACTAAGAAGATGCAAAGCACATAACATACCTACGGACACTGATTGCCAACTGACTAAGTGCGGATTGCATGGCTTGGGCATTATCGCACAGTAAGACAATATCATCCGCATACTCAAGGTTGAGGAATCTTTCTCCAGGCAACAGATCCACACCACCATTACTTACATCCATCAGAGCTGTTTCCAGAATGTCATCGATGGCAAAGTTGAAGAGGAATAGTGAGACTGGGCAACCCTGCCTAACCCCACTGCTCGAATGGAACAATGGAGAGAGGTGGTTGTATGCCCTCACTCTGCTTGAGGCGTTTGTATACAGGGTCTTTAAGATGTTAACAAACTTCTCAGGCACACCCTTCTTCAAAAGACAATTCCAGAGAACAGTCCTATCCAACGAATCGAAGGCAGCCCTGATGTCAAGAAACACTACGATTTTTGGTCTTTGATAAGTATGACGGTGTTCTAACATTTGGCGGAGGGTGAAGATATGATCAATACATCCTCAACTGAAACGAAAACCAGCCTGCTCCTCGCGAGTCAATCTTTCTCGGGTTTTGAACAACCTACGAAGTATGACAGAAGCCAGTAGCTTGGACACAATCGTAAGTAGACTTATCCCTCGACAGTTGTTACAGGAACGACGTGAACCCTTTTTAAAGATAGGAACAACTATCGACTCATTCCATGACGTTGGTACACTCTCTAGTTCCCAGACTTTTGTGAACAACGTCGTCAGTTCCTTAGTCAGAAAGCCACCACCATCTTTAAAAAGGACCGGGGGTAAGTCATCTGGGCCCGGTGATTTGCAGCGCTTCGAGAGTTGGAGTTCCTTGCGGACTTCCGCCTCAATTGGTGGATCAGTCGTCACCGACCATGGAGGGCAGGACAGTCCGACCGAAGTTGCCGGAGCAGCAGGCCAGTTGAGCCGTCAGGTATTTACCAGATGCAGCTGCTACTTCCAGCTCATTAGCACGCTCCGACCACCAGGCTTCTAGGTCCTTACGCAAGCTTTGCCCGGTTTCATTACGTAACAGCCTTCGTTTGTAGTCAAACTCACGGTCACCCGGAGTAGACCGGCGGGCTTCAATGAGTTGTAAGGAACCAGAAGAAACCCAGTGCTTGTAAGCGGGACGTTTCGCAAACCCACAACTGACTTTACTCGCCATTTCGATGGCGCCATGAAGTTGCGACCAATGCTCATCTATACTTTTCGGTGGAGTGGTAGCTAGCCTAGAGGCTAGCTCGGTTCGATACTTATTTGCAACAGAAGTTGCAACCAGCTTGCTAACATCAATCCTTTGGTGGTGGTCACTTCGTTGACCACTGAAAAGTAAGGCAAGATTGGCGCAGACCAAGGCATGATCAGAGTCCAAATAGGTACTCCAAAAGGAGCAGCAGTCTTGTACACAACCACGACAGCGGTAGCTGATCGCGATGTGATCAATTTGAGTCCAGGCTTGAGATGCAGAGGGAGGACGCCAGGTGGCACATCGGCGATGACTGTGCCGAAAGTTAGTGCTAGCCAGAAACAGGTTGTGGTATGTGCACAGTTTCAGTAGACGGTCCCCGTCATCTGTCCTGCGACCAACAAGTCCCCATCGGCCACCTAAACGATTCTCTTCTGTACCTAGACGCCCGACCTGAGCATTCAAGTCTCCGGCTAGTACTACAATATCTGTCGAACGCACTTTCTGGAGAAGAACAGCTAACTGGTTGTAAAACTCATCCTCGATTGCATCCGGGCTGCAATCTGTCGGGGCATAGGCGGAGATGACGAAAAGACATCGTTTCTCACGCCGATTTCTTCTCACTTTGATGGAACTTTCTAATCTAACAGCACATAACCGACTGTTAATGGGGATCCAATCGATTAGTGCTGCCTCAGCTCTAGCGCTTAGTGCGATACCAACGCCAGCAAGACCAGACGAAGATGCCACGGGGTCTCCGGATAAACGCACGTAAAACAAGCTTTTTGAAGCGACAGATGGAGAGCGAACTTGCAGTACTTCACTAGAGTCTTGAATACGGATCTCGGATAGACAAAAACATCGATATTAAGACTTTCCAAAGACACAGCCAGCCCTATCTGTTGTCCAACCTGCATAATTGTGCGAACGTTGAAGGCAGCCAGTTTGAATGGTGCACGTGGTTTCAGAAAAACTGCTTCAGTACTCGTACTTGGTGGTAGCATACAATTTCCAACCAGGCAGTGACTCGAGAACGCTTAGATAGATCCGAACTTCCACCATAGGCGAGCTGCTGTATAAGTTGAAAAACAAGTATACACAGAGCAGGAATAACAGAGGGTGAATAAATGACGTAGTAAATAATAACAATAATAATATAATAATAATAATAATAATAATAATATAATAATAATAATAATAATAATAATAATAATAATAATAATGGTAATAGTGATAATAATGTGAATTATTTGATTGTTAATCGAAGCAAGAATAGTATTTTCCATAAATATAGATAGTTCATGATAATTGTGCGTGGGCTGTGATACTGCCCGGGTGCCCAGACCGAAGCAAGTGTGTTTGTACTAAGACCTTTACTTAAAGGGTGGGAATTGAGAGTTTCATAAATATATCTGCTTAGCTTTTACACTTCAACTGAATGATCTTCGTAAGTTATCACCCAGTCCTCTGTTTAATAATAGTACTCCATCACATCTATTTAGCCGGACTTTGTCCTAATATAAATTAGGATTGAATATTAATGAAATAAATCCGGTTAAGGACCATGTATTGTAGTTCAATGGATGCAGTGTTAAACATACAACTCAGATTATTGGTTTACATTTGGAAGCTTAGCCTTTCTTTTGTTATCGGTCACAAAATTTGTTGTATATAGAAAATATTTCACATCATAGACTGGGTCACTGAAAGCCAAAGGAATACTACAGTCGTTTTATTCTTTTACAAGACTATCCTGTTTAATGTTCATGCCATCATTAAAACTGGCTGAAAATATTAAATTTGGCTTTTTCAAAGCAGAACCTTGTAGTGAGTTATGCTGTTGGTTGTTTGTAGGATGGATTAAAATTATCTGACGATTCATAACTTTCAGTTGTCATTGGATAATGGTTTCTGATTAGAGTTATGAAAGTGACCTAATGATTAAATTCTTAGGCTCCCAACCAGTTGATTGGAGGTTCTAAACTTCGCTTTAGTTTAGAGTAACGTCTATCCGTTGTCGTTGATGACACCAATTTTGCTCATTGACGAGTTAAAAATGTAAACCATTAGATGTTAACTCAGTAGTCTGAAGGTCAAGCTCTCTTCGTGGGATATGGAGGTTCTGGTTTGCATATCTGAAGGTGCCGCAGATATCCGTTTCTGAAGTTCTATACTAAGGGAACCAGCTTTCCATCACTTTCCATTTTTTAAAGTTTGTCTAACTAAAGTTAGTTCTTAACTTGGACTATAAGTCCAATACTTTCCACAAATCTATGTTCGATCAGTTTTAGGCTTTTTTATTACCTGAACTAGGTGTTTTTCTCTACCTTTTTAAGGGTTCTCAATTATAACTGTTTTTCGGCTGTTTCAGGGCTAACGATACCACTCAGTTACCCAAACCGTAGTAGGTGGAGCGGGATTCGAACCTGGGATAAAGTGGTTGAAAGTCGAACTCCTTGACATCTGAGACGTTCGATAGAGAATATTTTTCGCTGTCGGTTAAATTGAATAAGTATATATATATATATATATATATATATCATCAGATTTGTTAGCATTTTCACCGCGACTCAAACCTAAAATTGATTGCTTTCGAACGTCACAGGATTACTTAACAAATTATGAAATTTTGTTTTCACAAAAGTCTCAGCAACTGAAATTAAATTAATTTGACGTTTCATCGAACAATGGAGTTGCAGCCTCATTTAAAACAATAGTTGAAATACAAATTCTCAAGGATAGTTAAGGCCAAAAATAAATATCTACTGAACAACTGTCCAGTTACGTTCGAATTTGCTGTCTGTAATCAGAGTATAGCATTCATATTTTTGACTTATGAGCTTTCAAATCTATTAGAAATATATAATTCATGTAATAGTTATTTCAGTTACTGCATATTTTACTTTTGATACTCATTTAGTTAAGGAAGAAACTCAGAATGATCTTCTAATTAACTATTTTTCTTTGGCGTTTCAGCTGCCAGTCGAACAACGGTTTCGGAATCTGATCTCCTACGTGAACTAGTATTTGTACTAAATGGTGTTGGGGGGAATCTAATTAAATTTAATCATATACAGGATTCCTTCAGAGTATGTTTAATGCCTTTTTGTCGTAAAAAAGTTTCATCCTTTCTTGGAAAATATGTTTATATATTAAGACGCGACTAATTCAACTTTGGAATTGTATAGTGAGAATTTCTGAATTTCTACTAATTTTTACGTGGAATAACTACTTCGTTAAAGCTATACAATACTTATATTTCCATTAATGTTTATTGATGCCTAATCAGATGTGACTATCATCACTTCAGCCCATGATTTCTTGTCGACTATCTCCAACCATTTAACATTAGATCACAGTTCATGTGATGTTAAGTCACTTAGACCAGTAACGACGTTGCGACTTGATTAACCGAGTCCAATTAACGTTAAATAAGTATGCAAACATAACATTGGGCACTACTAAACAGCTAGTTAACTGTATGGACTAAAATGTTGCTTAGGTTATCTATCTGATCCATTCTTAGACAAACCTTCTTTTGCTTTTGGCTTTTCTTATGTTTGTTGGACAAGTATTCTTTCATTTATTATCCGCTGTATAAGTGAATAAGTAGATTCTTTTTATATTGTTTCGCTACCGACTTCCTTTTTTCCATTGTTTGTGACATGGGCTCAGTACTTGATTCTCTCTTCCTAATATACAAAAAGCCACTCAGGGTAATTGTAGTACCCTGATTTTAAAGTAAGTTGTGCACACGTCCTCCAGAATTCCAAGAGGATGAGTAGCATACAAACCTACTCTGGTCATCGGCTACCTTGGGATTATATCCCTTGATGTTAGTGTATCGTCTCCTGAATTAGATGTTTAAGTCAAAGGTCCAGAGGAGTCTATGAATGTATTCACCATCTCTTTGCTTCAAATTCTTATTTAAATTTAGATAAGTTAATAAAATTTCACAGGTTAATATATTGTTGATAGGCTATCTATGCAGTTGGTTTGTAATTAAAGTACTCAGCTCTCAACCAACAAGTCAGGTTTATTTATATTTATTTTATTATTTTATTTGAACACATAAATATTGGTACAAGAGGGCACCAAATACATATGCGCCACACAAAACAATGAGAATTCGAAGAAAAAAAGAAGGTAAGGAGCGTTACAAAAAGAACAATAACGAACAGATTAGTGTAAGGTAGTGTAATAGTAATAAAAAAAATAATAATAGTAATGATGGGGGAAATGGAAAGGTACAATCAGAAGAAATCTCTCAGTTAAGGAAGATACAACCACTTTTTTATGAAGGAAGTAAAAGAAGGTTACAGCACGATCGCCACTGGCTTCTATTCTCAACCATATCTGATAACGTCTCTAGCCACTGTGTTGCACCATCTCTAGGACCCCAGCCAGGGAGTCGTGAAGGACCAACAGAAGCCAGCCCTTTGCAGCTTTCTTTGATACCACGACACCATGTCATGCACTGACCACCTCTCCGCTTTTTCCAACCAGTCCCGGCGTCGGCAAATGATGCACAACGTGGAATTCTCTGGGACGACACTCCTAGAACATGTCCAAGCCACCGAAGTCGATGTTTCAAAATGGTGACACCAATTGCATTATCGTCTCTGTACCCGAACACACGATGCCGAACCTCTGCATTACTAACATGGTGTTGCCACTGGATGTCAGCAATCCTTCGGAGACAGCGATGATCGAACATAGAGAGTCGTCTAACGTCCTCAACTCGGAGAGGCCAGGTTTCACAAGCATAGAGCAAAACTGCTCTCACCGACGCGTTGTAGATCTGACCTTATACAGCCAGACTAACATCACGAAGGCGCCAAAGGTGGCCCAGATTGACATAAGCCGCTCTGACCTTCATTATACTTGCATTGATCTCATCACTCACATCACCACCAGCACTTATGCAGCTACCTAGATACACGAACTTCTCGACTACTTCTATCTGCTCACCATCCTGGATGGTGAGATTGGGCAACCCTGCCTAACCCCAATGCTCGAATGGAACAATGGAGAGAGGTGGTTGTATGCCCTCACTCTGCCTGAGGTGTTTGTATATAAGGCTTTTAGGATGCTAAGAAACTTGTCAGGCACACCCTTCTTCAATAGACAATCCTAGAGAACAGTGCTGTCCAACGAATCGAAGGCAGCCTTAATGTCAAGAAACACTACGATTGTTGGTCTTTGATAAGTATGACGGTGTTCTAACATTTGGTGGAGGGTGAAGATATGATCAATACATCCTCAACTGAAACGAAAACCAGCCTGCTCCTCGCGAGTCAATCTTTCTCGGGTTTTGAACAACCTACGAAGTATGACAGAAGCCAGTAGCTTGGACACAATCGTAAGTAGACTTATCCCTCGACAGTTGTTACAGGAACGACGTGAACCCTTTTTAAAGATAGGAACAACTATCGACTCATTCCATGACGTTGGTACACTCTCTAGTTCCCAGACTTTTGTGAACAACGTCGTCAGTTCCTTAGTCAGAAAGTCACCACCATCTTTAAAAAGGACCGGGGGTAAGTCATCTGGGCCCGGTGATTTGCAGCGCTTCGAGAGTTGGAGTTCCTTGCGGAATTCCGCCTCAATTGGTGGATCAGTCGTCACCGGCCATGGAGGGCAGAACAGTTTGACCGAAGTTGCCGGAGCAGCAGGCCAGTTGAGCCGTCCGGTAGTTACCAGATGCAGCTGCTACTTCCAGCTCATTAGCACGCTCCGACCACCAGGCTTCTAGGTCCTTACACAAGCTTTGCCCGGTTTCATTACGTAACAGCCTTCGTTTGTAGTCAAACTCACAGTCACCCGGAGTAGACCGGCAGGCTTCAATGAGTTGTAAGGAGCCTGAAGAAACCCAGTGCTTGTAAGCGGGACGTTTCGCGAACCCACAACTGACTTTACTCGCCATTTTCATGGCGTTATGCAATTGCGACCAATGCTCATCTATACTTTTCTGTGGGATGGTAACTAGCATGGAAGCTAGCTCGGTTCGATACTTACTAACAACAGAAGTTGCAACCAGCTTGCTAACATCAATCCTTTGGTGGTGGTCACTTCGTTGACCACTGAAAAGTAAGGTAAGATTGGCACAGACCAAGGCATGATCAGAGTCCAAATAGGTACTCCAAAAGGAGCGGCAGTCTTGTACACAATCACGCCAGCGGTAGCTGATCTTGATGTGATCAATCTGAGTCCAGGCTTGAGATGCAGAGGGAGGACGCCAGGTGGCACATCGGCGATGACTGTGCCGAAAGTTAGTGCTAGTCAGAAACAGGTTGTGGTATGTGCACAGTTGCAGTAGACGGTCCCCGTTATCTGTCCTGCGACCAACATTAGTACAAAGAGGCACCAAGTAGATATGCGCCACATAAATCATTCGATTTGTGTGAGGGCTGTGATACTGCCCAGGTGCCCGAACCGAAGCAGGTGGTTTTCTTAGGGGGCCACACCCCGAGCATTTGACCTGAAGGTCTGATCCACAAGGCAGTGGAGAATCGTGAGGAGATGCAGTCCCATGGTAGCCGATGACCAGCGATTGGTTCATACGCCATTTGTTCCCTCAGGATATTGGAGCCCATGTGCACCATTGGTTTGGAATCCGGTTAAAGCGCCAGACATTCGCTTTTCGTCCTCTCATTTTCGTAAACAACACCCGTGGTACGAGAAGGCAGTGAGTAGGACTTCCCTGGCAGAGGCTGTATACGCGTGGCCGTGTGAGAGTATTTCGAGAGGGAGGGAGGGCGGGCCTACCCCACTCTTGGCCATACCAGAGCATTTTGGGTCTACAAGTCAGGTTTGAATCTCGTCTTATCTACCTTGATTTGTGAAGTCGGACGTTATCAGTAGCCTTCTCACAAAACATATAACTGAAATCCTTGTGTATAAGTTCGCACTTAGTAAATAAGTTATTCAGATTGTATCGTTAAAGCCTGTATGTTGTCTGGTTATCCTGGAAACGCGATTGAGCCGTACTATTTGGGCTACAAATTTTAAGCCTGGGCGATGTCTGACTCTCCTGTTAAACAGGATTGAGCTGTACTGTTTGGGTTGTCACGTGAAAGTTTGAATGATGTCTGGTTCTCCTGAAAATCAATGTAAAATTACCCTGGCTTATAAGGGTATATTATATAATTATATAATTAATATTCGTGTATAAAATTGAGTAGTTCGGCATTTATCGATGTTATTTCCTTTGTAGTTTTCTATTGTTTTCTGAGTATTATTCCTTAAAGGATGAGGAAGGCTTTAGGATGTGTATTTATTTTTATTGTGAAATCGTTTATGTTTTCGAAATCTATATCGAGTCTATTTTTATAAACATCATAATTCTCTCATAAACTACCAGTCAGACCGTTCTGTATATTTTCTCTGGCAGTACCTTATTCTACAATGTGCAATTTGTAAAAACAGTTGTTCCCTAAGTATCGAATTATCTTGAGAAAATGAATTAACCCATATAAACGTTATGTTAGATGTTTAAAAATTTGTAGTTAGATATGATTATTTACTTGTGTATATACCTACAGAAAATGATATTTCGTTAGGTTATTATCTCTAAACGAATATAAAAAAGCTGGACAATTGACATGTGTTTAGCTATCGAATATTCAAAGTACGTAACTAAAGTTATGTATCACTGAAACATCAAGTTAAATAGAAAAAAGGTTTTTCGTACATATACTGGGTTCGAATCTCGCGGGGGGCGAGATCGTGGATGCGCACTACTGAGGAGTCCCACAATAGGACGAGACAACCGTCCAGTGCTTCCAGGTTTTCCATGGTGGTCTAGCATCAACTAAATCATGATCTCAACCATTGAAATTACTATGATTTCCACAAAACCCCTTCTAATAATTTAAGATACAATTTTTTGTGTAGATAGATTTCAATTTAATCTGTTCTGGGTCAACTCAATTTGTTGATCAGAATTCATTATTCTATGAGTTCTGTCTTAATTAATGTTTAATGCAAATTGATTTTATTTGAGTATTTCTCCTGCAATAGGAATAAAAAAATAAGGAATAAATTAATAAAAATTTTATTGGTTATTTAAGTGTTTTGTAATCCCTGGTCTTGGGATAGATCTTTAAGTTATTGAAATGGTATTTTGTACGTTTTGAATAAAATAATTTTCAATTTATCGTATTTAAGATCTATTCTTTTCTATCTTGGTTTCATGTTAAAATGTTTTATATATTTTTATAAATTGTTTTTTTCCCCTAGTTAGTATCAACTGCAAATGTGGCTGTCGGTCAGCAAGATTCAATTCATAGGATAGCTGAATGCGGATGGTTACATAATAAAATTAAACAATTTATAAGTCGTGCTCGAAATGATAGATCTGCTGGGACTATTGTACAAAGTTTTGCTTCTGGCTTACATGAACACTTAACTGAGTATTACCGTCTAGTTGCCACTTTAGAAGTAAGTGTATTTATAGATATATTTATATATAGTTGGTGGTTAATCTTCCTGACATATTTAATTGATTCATATGTTTGAATATATTTGAGGTCTTATTGCTTATGAATTTAACTAAACTTCCATTTATGATTATTCGCTAATAGACTCTGTAATATGTTGCCAGAATTGTTTTTTCATACCAAACTGTAGTCTTTTAAATATGGATATAAAATTGTTCTATTATTTATTTCGAACTGTGTTATTTTTAGTTGAATGTTTCTTTTTTTGAAATTATCTTTAGAGATCCACTTCACTGATGAACGGGTTGATTTTCGGTAGTCATGATATGATTAAAGAGCTCGAAACAATGAATAATTTTGACTAATTGTTGATAATAATCCATTCAGTGTACTAGTCGGTTTCGTAGATATTTTATTTGGTGTAATGTATTTTTCAAAGATAATTTTCATATCACTAGACTTCTTGTTACTAGGAGCCTAAATAAATTGGAATTGTTCCAGGGAATAGCTAAATGCAATCACTATTTCTTTATTTTCCTGTCTATGTACAATCATCCAGTTCGATTTATGCAGATGGATTACATTTATACTTTCTAACTTTTTTTGTGAAACACTGTAACTGTGTATGAAGACCGTAAACAGAATTTCTGATGTTTATCAAAAAATATTACTTATTTATACTTTTACTAATCATATTATGAAATTAAATAGCTGTATAGTGTCTAGTAATTAAGATTATACACCAGTTAATATCTGGATGAGATTAGTGAGAAACATTTTTCAATTATTGAAATTACACAATATAAAGTGTTATCGGTTATAAACATTGCAATCAATAGTTTTTAGTTACTTACTGACAACCAGAGTATTTTTTTTAAATTTCAAAATTATACGTGAGTTGTGGTAAGATTTAACATTCAGTTTTTTTCATGATCTAATACATTCTAAATTTTTTCTATTAAAAAACAGGTATAATAATGGATCGATTTTCAGGCACTTAATCTACATGAGACTTGTTTATAGCATAAATTCCAGGACTTTTTACATAATTTTTAGACATAGCGTTTGGTTACGGCCTTAAACTCATGGTGAACAATATGATCTCAAGTATCTTTAGAAGTATGGCAGCAGTGGCCAATTCCCAGTTGCCCATACCATTGAAGAATATTCCTTGTTGAGGGATCTAAGAAAGAAGTTGTGTTAGTAGTGGTCTTTGTTACTTGGGAGCGCAACCGCAGAGCCCAATCGACAATTGTGTGAGCATGATAAAACGTGGAAATTGTTTGATGAATTAGCTCCGTACTTAAAAAGGCTTTACCGCCGAAGAAAAAACCCCTTGGGGTAAGGTGAGGTGCATCATTTGTAGGATTGACCCTTTTTTCATACGAAACCGGCATCGATACAGATGTTGGTTGTCTGTCACACCCCACTTAGGTCAGCAATACAACTTCGCCCTCAGACCTTAAGTTACTGCTTTTATTCTCATTGTTCTCTAGCCGACTTATCTGGAATGTTAGAATCTAAAGAAACAAATGTTCTAGCCAATATGGCTCGTTTAAGTCATCATGATTGTAAACCTGACTACCTCCTCAAGGTAGCAGCTATAGTAGGGACTTAAACTAAAGACTAATAATTATTTGCTACTGTATTTTAGTAGTATACAATATCAAAATAGTGTTATTCTATATACTGTAAACAACTATGTCTGATAATCAATCAAAGTTTGAATCGAGTTTTTCTCTTCATTCTTGTCTGATGTTTTTATTGTTTATCAGTCACAACTGAATCAAGATAAACATGATTTCTCCGGAGATCATCATACTAATCAGTCTGATCAAGGCACAGACTATGGTAGATCACTAGAAAATATTGCAAGTTTTATGCATGGTGATGTTGGAGGCTTGGATTCTCATGTCGATCGTACCAGTGATCATCAGTCAACCTCTTCGCTGTCTTTTGTCCAACCGTTGACATTAACTCGGTTGGTTTTATGGACTCAAGAGCCTCGGTTGAGACTACGATTTCTAGCCAGCTTATGTGATGTTTGTCATGGTTTAAGTGGTGGAGCATTAGCATCTGAAGTGTTTGCTTATACACTTCATGGCGATCCTGAAGTAGCGTTGATTATGCGACATTTAATGTCCAATATTGCTTCCAGTTTGTTACATTTTATTAGTCAATGGATTTATGATGGCCATCTAGACGATCCATATCAAGAATTCTTTGTTGAATCAGATACGTCAGTGAAAATGGATCGTTTATGGTATGATAAATATAATCTTCGGCATAATATGATTCCAAGATTTATCACTTCAAGCCAAGCAAATAAGGTATATTTATTATGTATATAATTTCATGAATTTTACATTTTATTTTTATATTAAAAACATTAAGGAAATTTCTTTTTAACTGTACAGTAATGGCTTATTAATTGAAAGGTACTTGATTCTTAATCAGTGAGTTGCAACTCCAAACCCTTCACTTCATTTCGATTTAAGCAGTCATATGTTATCGCTGTTTCCTACAAAAACAACTTAGCTCAAATTGTTAATTTTTAATAAATGAATTATTCAGTGGCGCCTTTTGTAAAATATCCTTTCCTCAATTGGTATAAAAGTAGAGTGATGAAGACGTAGGTAATAAAATTCGATTAGAATTTCGTTACGCAATAGTCAAAGGGGAATAATAATGAAATAATATAGAAACGCGATATGAAAGATTTTCCCTTTAATAATTGTAAGAAAGATAAAATTATGAGCGAATAAAGATATATAAGATATAAAACAGAGATTGGAGAGGCAGCTGTTTACTTGAATAGTTTAGGAAGATGAAGAAGCAAAGATGAACACAACAAGGAATAACTAATAAAATATGATGAGGTGCACTAATCATGGTAAACTAATGGATTGAATATACTGTTTCTGCATACAAATCAGACCCGAACTGACGAATCACCAAAAGTTTCTTATCTGGCTTCTCTTCGAACCAGCTTATCTCAATCTATGAATAATTTTAAATGAGAACTCAGGTGGAAGTAAATGCCCACAATTTACTAGATGTTCAACAATCGAGCTAATGAGTAGTTTTCATGCACATTTTGACAACCAACCTAAATAGTATTCAGATAAGCGTTTGGAAAGAGCACACATTGTGTGGCCAATATAAAAACTGCAAAACAGCAAGTAATCTGGTAGATAGACATTAAGGTAGCACAAAGCGGACAAAATATATTGAAAAATTGTAATAATAACTGTCCTCAACCGTATGACAAAAGAATTTAATTGATGAGTTTGTAAACCGCCGCCAGCCAGTTATGTGCAACTTAGAGCCTGGCAGATATGTGCATTGGTTCAAATTGCCATACCATATAAGTGCAACTAGATGTGATTATCAATGCAAATGCCAGTTAGAGTAGTAGAAGTAGTAACAGTATCAGTGGTATAAACAATAGTAAAATAATTCACTACTCAAAATACTTGACTTTTTCTATCCATTAAATTTTATGTTATTTTGGTTTCCAGTGATTTTTTCAACATGTAAATAATCACCAAAAGTACCATGTTATTGCCAATAAAAAATAATTATCCTTGATGAGGTTGTGGATCCACACCTTCTGAGTAGTAGTGCACTTCTAGTATAGTGAATGAAAGCTCAGGTACGGTAAACCAATTTCTTGTTTCGTGCAAAATCACATGATGTCTTTGTAAAATATGAAGATCATACATTAAATACCTCATTTGCGCAACTTCCTTCAGTTATCCTTTACATACTCCATCATCCTTCTAATTCTGTTGTTATTCCGATTACTCCTCATTCTTTCCTGTTCTCTTTATCTCAATCTGCTGTTGGTAAGCATCCCATTTCTGCTACATACTACTTGTATCTGTTCACATAAGAGGCGCATACCACACTAGTACAAAGTATAATCCAATAGTCTATTGTTTTTAATGATATTCTAGGTAGTCAGTTTGTGATGTAATATAAATAAATATTTTACTTTTTTATCGTTAAGGATTTTCAACTATTTTGTTCTTTTTTCTTCTATATTCATGTTCCTAGATTCTTGTCACTGGTAAATCGATCAACTTTTTAATTCATGTTTGTGGCGAAAAACAAGGCATTAAAAATCGTGAATCTATTCGTCATACACGTTTAAAAAAGGGTTTGTTTTGTTCAAATGTTATATAGTTATTTTGTCATTTTGTTGTGCTGATTCTTAGAATCGATTCACACGCCCAAACCCTTACATCCTCACACACTCACGTGTACAGCACAATATCTTCATATTTCTAAGCAATTATTTAGACTGATATAATGTACATCAGATTCTGATATAATTCCAAAATAATAATAGTAACGATAATAATAGGCATTTGCATTGTTTAAATCGATTGTAGTAGCATTTCTTACATGTATAATTTGATAAGTGGTATATATATATATATATATATATATATATATATATATACTGTTGTACATGGATTGATTTGACATAATTGATGTTTTAATGGCATTGGAAATTTCTAAGTTTGATTAGCATATAGTCCTATTGTCATTTATGTATATGACTAAATGAATAAATATGTATCAGTCAGTCAGTCAGCTACAACGTAGGACCAGGCACATATGTGCATCGGTCCAGGTTGCCATACCGCATCAGCACAACAAGATGAACACCGGATTCATAGCAGTGGTTAGGTCAAAGGTAGTAATATGTAAGAGAAAGATTGCATATAGAGATATAGTACAAGAAGAAAGAATTGGTTCGTAGAAAGAAAGATATGAAGCGATTTTAATCTCTTAGTTTAAGGGAAGACAGGGAGTGTATACACCGACGCCATTGTGATCGATTCTGAGCCATGTCACCAAGAGTCTCCAACCATTGGTTACGATAGTCACGCGGACCCCAACCAAGTAGTCTGCATCTACCAACATGGCTCAGACTAGAAGTTAGTGACTTCAAGCATTGATGCCACGTTTTGGTTTGGCCGCCCCTAATTCTCTTCCAACCACCTCTAACACCCGTTAGCATTGCACGTCGTGGTAATCGGTGTTCAGGCATACGTAACACGTGGCCCAACCATCTCAGTCGATGAAGATTAGCAACCTCATCAACTGATTTACCATCATTCCCTAATACCATGCGTCTAACCTCACTATTACTTACCCGGTGATCCCAGCAGACGCCAGCAATATTTCTAAGGCATCTATGGTCAAATACTAATAGCTTACGAGTGTCTTCTACTCTTAATGGCCATGTTTCGCTGCCGTAAATTAAAACAGAACGGACTGCCGCGCAATATACTCGTTCTTTTATTGATAGACGGATATCTCGCCTTCGCCATAGGTGACGCAAGTTGGCAAAAGCCAATCGAGCTTTTCGAATCCGTGCTGAGTTTTCGTCCGATACCAACCCATTAGGGCTGATCAGACTTCCAAGATAAGTGAAGTTGTCAACGCGTTCGACTACTTCACTCCCTATCCTTAGTTCAGGTGTTAACGCAGACCAGTCCTGAAGCAACAACTTGCATTTAGAGGGAGAGAAGCGCATTCCAAACATCCTGGCATTGTTGCTCAGTGCTACCAAAAGACTCTGCATTTTGTCAGCGTCTTCACCAAATAGGACTATATCATCTGCGTATTCTAAGTCGATAAGTGGACCTCCTGGAAGGAGATCAATGCCCGAGAATTCAGTCGACGAGAATGTTATTTACATCAGTAGGTCTATGATGAAGTTAAACAGAAATGGAGAAAGTGGACAGCCTTGACGGGCACCACCTGAGGTTGCAAAAGTAGATGACAGTTTGCCATAAGCTCTGACTCGACTAGTAGTGTTCGAGTAAAGAGCCTTTACAAGGTTTATGTACTTCTGGGGTACGCCTTTCAGTGACAGACACTGCCACAGAATCTCGCGGTCTACAGAGTCAAATGCTGCTTTTAAGTCGAGAAAGACCACCATTGTCGGACGCCGATAAGTATGCCTGTGTTCTAGAATCTGACGAATGATGGATATGTGGTCGATGCAGCCACGACCAGGTCTGAAGCCAGCTTGGTTCTCTCGAGTTTGCAGTTCACGAGTCTTAGTTAGGCGTCTGATAATTATCGAGGTTAGTATTTTAGATACTATATTAGTTAAACTAATCCCTCTGTGGTTGTCACAAGATGATTTTGACCCTTTCTTATATATTGAGACGATAAGTGATTGCGACCAGTCAGATGGAATAACGTTTAACTCCCAGATCTTAGCTTAAATATTAGTTAACCTAATCGCTAAAATTGGACCACCATCCTTAAAGACTTCTGGAGACAATCCATCTGGACCAGCTGCCCTTCCTCGTTTCAGATTAACTATAGCTTTTTGAACTTCAGCAAGAGTTGGGGGACCTAGTTCAATGTTCCATTCACACTGTCTGGGAATGGAGGGTAGTTGTAGAGTAGCTGAAGGCCAGCTGAACTGTTCTCTGAAATGTTCCGCCCATCGTTCTGAACGCCTGGACTGGGAGCAGATGAGTGTATCGTCTTTTTCCGAAATAATCTCACTTACACTTGACTTATTAATTCCAGTCTCTTTTATTAGTCTGTAAAGCTGTCTTGTGTTCCCTATAGTCGCCGCCTTTTCCATCTCTTTTGCTTTCGTTGCCCACCACTGCTCACGGTCGTTTCTTAGACTTTTTCTTAACCTAGATCTGATTTGTTGTCGCTCTTTATCATGTTCGGAACCTGATGGAACGAGTTTGCGAGAATCCATCAGTGTGATAGACTTTGAAGAAATCCACTGGTTCTTTGTAACTCTGTGGTTTAAGTCGCTAATAGATGTCACTGCTGTTTTCACAGCTGCCTGTATTTCATTCCAAACATCTGGGTCAGCCTCGTCTTCAGAACTACCTAATCGTGACCTCAGTTGTTCCTGGAACCTACTTTTGGTTTCCTCGCTACTCAGTTCGGTTCTAATGGGCCTTTTTACTGTGGCTTTTTTGCGTCCAGTGAGGGGCAAGCAGATGCGTGCCCGTATTAGGGCGTGGTCGGAGTCCAAGCAGGTACTCCAGAATGAGCGACAATCTTGTACCGACCCTCTCCAACGATGACTGATGGCAATATGGTCTATTTGAGTCCATCGTTGGTTTGATGTAGGTGGTCGCCATGTTAGACGATGTCTCTCCTTATGCTTAAAATTTGTGTTTGCTAAAAATAAGCGATTGTCTGAACACAGTTGCAGCAGACGGTCACCATTATCTGTTCGCTGTGCCGGAATGCTAAAATATCCACCTAAATGCCTTTCTGTTTGGTTTAAGCTACCTATCTGAGCATTAAAGTCACCTGCTACGAGTACTATGTCTGAACGTTTAGCTTTCTGAAGAAGTTCAGAAAGCTTTCTGTAAAATTCATCTTTCACATCATCTGAGCTGCAGTCAGTAAGAGCGTAGGCAGAAACGATGAAAAGGCAACGACGTGTGTCCCTATCCTTCCGAGTTTTTACGGAGCCGTTTAGCCGAACAGCACATAGACGACTGTTGACAGGAATCCATTCTAGCAGTGCTTGTTCCGCCCTCATGCTTAGTGCTATGCCTACACCTGCCAGTCCACGAGAACTAGCCATCGGGTCACCGGATACACGTAGGGTGTATCTCATTGGCTCTCCGTTTTGCCGAGGTGAGGTCAAGTGAATGACCACACTGGAATCCTGTATGCGTGTTTCGGAGACACAGCATACATCAATGGAAAGAGACTCTAAGGTTTTAGCCAAGGAAGCCTGCTGACCGATTTGACATAGAGTGCGTACGTTGAAAGCTCCAATGTGTAGTTTGGAGCGAGGTTTCAGTAGACCTGGGACAGAGTTTTGAGCACTAGAATCGTTGGCTATGGTGACACTTGAGGAGGAAGCCGAAGGAGGAAGTTTAGGGTTGAAAGTCGATGTAGGAGGAATAATAGGAATTGAAGAGGAAGGTTGATTGTGAATACAGTGGTCTTGGGTGCTATTAGGGGTATGAGGGCGGTTATCACTTCCCGGTTGCCCACACCGTGGAAGGGTTCTTCTGGAGGTACCTGAAAAGGAAATTAGAGGCGGTCTCAGTGACCTGAGAGCGTGACCGCAGTGCCCAAGGGACAACTGCTTGAGGCCGGTCGCGCACGGCCTTTTCGTGGGAGGTTTTTGACGTGTTAGCTCCGTTCTTCAAAGGGCCTTACCGCCGGAGACGGATATCCGTGAGGTAAGGTGAGGTGTGATATTTTTAGGGTCGACCTTTTCTAACCCCACCCCTCCTTGTGGGAAGGCAGCATCGCTGCCATGCTGGTTGTCTGAAGGAAACACCTTACTGCTGTCACACCTCTGTACAGTCAGCAGTACGACTTCGCCTTCGGACCTTGGGTTTGTTGCTTTTAGTCTTACCGCTCTTCAACCGACCTGTCTGACATGGTAGGACCTTGAGGAACGGTTGTTCCAGCCAGTATAGCTCGGTTGCTTCATCACGATAGGCAAGCCCGACCACCACGTCAAGGTAGCAACAACGGTCGGGATAAATATGTATAGAGTTGAAGTAATCAACCTATGCTCTAATTTACACTAACTGGACTTTAGTTTATATACACAGTCACAGAAAGTACCTAATAAATTAAAGGAAATTGAGAACGCCCTACGTGACACAGTGCAACAATAGTGTAATGAAATGTAAAGTAAAAAGCATTATGTAATAACAAAGGATATGAATGGTGAACATTAAGGGGTAACGTTTTAATCGAAACCCAATAAAGATAGATTTCTTCCGGTCAGTGTTTTTTTCACTGGTAATGAAGAAAACAGTGGGAAACTATACTAGAATCAACTTGTTCGATAACATTTCAGCTTTTTGAGTTGTTTGGTGTTCAGTGCTCTATACAGAAGTTTGTCAGGAGTAAACGAATACTAATCTAACGCATCTATCTCATTGTTTCACGGGGTTATGTCACAAACTGTTTGTTGATCCAATTACTATGATCAATTTTCGAGTAAGCAAATAATGCCCGGTATGTAGATTACTGGGGTGATATGAGTAAGCGTCAAGTTTCAGATAAGCCTGAAATATCGGATCGAGTTCAAGTAAAGAACATATCTTAGTGATCATTGACCAGGTTATCGATTTTTTCCAGTTTACTTATCAGAATTTCTGCATTGATTGCAAAATTGTC